GCGAGGATTACAGGTGTGAGTCACCGCGCCAGGCCAAAAAGTTTTACAAAATGTAAAAATCAATAAATCAATAACTTGTCCAAGGTCATACGACAAGTGGCAGAGCTGAAATTTGCCATCAGGGAGTTTGAGTGCAGGGTCTCCACTGCTACACAAACCTGCACCGCTCTAATTTAAGGTTAGCACGGTGACGCATGCCTGGCACCCAGGAGTCATCAAAGCAAAAGCTGCCTGATGATTACAGCTCATTCATTCGCTCAACAAATTTTTTCTTAAGCTACTATTATGTGTTTGTCTCTATTCTACCAAATAAAAACCCCATGAGGAAGAAAAGAGACAGCAACAGCCGGAGAGTGACAAGGGCCATTTTAACTAAGGTAGTGAGGGAAATACTTAATGAGAGGCAGCATTTGAGTCTGACCCCAAAAGAAGGAATGAGGAAGCCAGACTGGCATATTCCAGGAGCAGAGGGCAAGCCAGGGAGGGAACCAGGAAGAGGGGCAGCAGAGCGCTGTGTAGCCCTCAGGAATTAGGGTGAGGGGAGCCAGCCATTCTCCCGATGCAAAATTTAATGTTTTCCAAACAATTAACATAATTGAAAGAAGTATTAAAAAATTGAAGAGTAGATCATTAAAACCCACAGTATTCTAAGTTTGAACATTTAATGTAGATCCCCTCAAAAAAATTTGTTGTAATTTTACATTCCAAGCTTTCGCGGAAGCAAAATCATAGATGATATTTCCGAAACCTACTTCTGGAAAATAATAGACCATTTAAAAGTGCATTAATCTGGCCGGGCGCGGTGGCTCACGCCTGTAATCCTAGCACTCTGGGAGGCCGAGGCGGGAGGACCACTCGAGATCAGGAGTTCAAGACCAGCCTGAGCAAGAGTGAGACCCCCGCCTCTACTAAAAAAAATAGAAACAAATGATCTGGACAACTAAAAATATACATATATACAGAAAATATTAGCCGGGCATGGTGGCACATGCTCGTAGTCCCAGCTACTCGGGAGGCTGAGGCAGGGGGATCGCTGTAGCCCAGGAGTGTGAGGTTGCTGTGAGCTAGGCTGACGCCACGGCACTCACTCTAGCCCAGGCAACAGAGTGAGACTCTGTCTCAAAAAAAAAAA